GAATAAATAGCCAGGAGTCTTTGGCCTCAAAAAGATAGAAGAAAAGCCAAAGATTTAAACCTCGGGAGGCATCCTATAGACACCTTTAGAGAACACCTTTTGGAGGAAAACTGTAATTAAACTGTCTGGTATATCTCATTCAAAAGTACAGACATTAAGATTATTCATACTAAAGATTTTCATCGTCATCCAGCTACTGCTGAGATGTTATATTAAATATGGATGGTGCTATTGACCTATAGAATAGATAGCCTTATTGCTGGGACAGATAACATATGAACTTTGTCATCCAACCAATTGCGGAGCATGCTTGCAATTAGATTATAAGCTTCATGGGACAGGGATTTTGGCTAATATTGCTTGGTACATTGATGATATTACCATATTGTCACCTACATTGCAAGATAAGGGGCATAAGAATTTGATAAATAACATTGTGCATAATGTCGCTTGGAAGAACTCTACCAGTCCCTACAGTTTTATTTTAGCAAAATGTATGTGTGGCAAAACTCTGAGTGGGAAACTGAGGCAGTGTGATGATTAAAGTATTATCAGGCTAGAAACTAGATGGAAACTAGATTATGAATCACAGCTGGGGGATTTTGGACTAGTCTTCTCGGTCCAACTCACCACATAGGGATGTTGTTGTTGAGAAAATAGGAGTAAGAAATAGTATTGGGTATATTTATCACTTGGAGTTATTTATTTAAAAAAAACCTATAAAGGCCAGATTTTTTAAAAAATATTAAAATGTTGTTGTTTTTCCTAGCATGTCTCAATTGAGTGCTTGGTTTGCCCTACAATTGCTTCAGTTCACATAGCAAAGGTTTCAGTATCTGATGTGACAAGGGGTTCTACTATTCCACAGGTTGTTGTAGAACTTGATGTTGATTTGGGCTGAGATTAGCCAGCTGGCTTCCATGCCTCTGAAAGGGCTGGATTCTGGGTTTCTCTTCTTTTGGTACAGCATCTTTAACCACTATACCAGGCTGTCAAACTCGCAGCCCGCAAGCCAGATGTGTCACATGCTGGCCACGCTCACATCCGGTTTAGCGAAGGGGGGGAAAGTCACAATACATCGAGTGACAATGCCGTGACAACATGAGTTTCACATCCCTGCACTATACAGTACTAGCATTCTTGAGTAGGAAATAAACCCAAATTTCTAATGTGCATTAGAAAAGAACCCATTATTTTTATTACACTAAAATGTTAATAATCCATAACAGAAGAAGTTGAACAAAATTCAGCACTCAAAGTTTAAATATCCCACCTCACATTTCTCCACAATCAGATTCTCCTTCAAACACGCAGGCTTTAAAAGCACTGGACAAATTGAAAGAAAGAACACGGTAGGGCAGGAAGTGGTCAACCTTTTTCTTCTCTAGTTGCAAATGCAGAAACTTGACTTATTGCAGTAGAAACCTCATTCACTTATGCCAATGGTTTTATTCTTCTAAAACACAAGTGTCAGCTTCAGAGTAGGGATTCTTTTCAGCATTATTGCAGGAAAGAATTATACCTGTCTCCTTGGCCACTATGATCTCATTTATTATCAGTCCTTTAAACTGTCCTGATAATATTGGCATTATTTTAAACACAAGAATGGATGGAAAGTAATCAAGGAGAGAAGCAAGTTAGAACTAAGGAACTAAGGAGAAATTTCCTGACAATTAGAACAATTAATCAGTGGAACAACTTGCCTCCAGAAGTTGTGAATGCTCCAACACTGGAGGTTTTTAAGAAGAGGTTAGATAACCACTTGTCTGAACTGGTATAAGGGTTTCCTGCCCAAGCAGGGGATTGAACTAGACCTCCAAGATCCCTTCCAACTCTGTTATTCTACATGCAGGTTTAAACTCATTTTAGATTATATCTACTTCAGTCCTAACATAAGAATACAATATAATGCTTCACTGTAGGGCTAAGGTATAAGAAACTTTCTAACCAGGTTAGAAACCAGGATATCGGGAATTCCAGCTCTGCTTTTGGCAAAGTTGACTTAGTTACTTAGGGTCAGTCACTTTCTTTTAGCCCTAGGAAGGCAGCAATGGCAAACAACTTCTGAAAATGTCCTAAGAAAGTGGCAGGAGTGCAGACTGACTTAAGGAGCCGAGATGGCACAGTGGTTAGGGTGCAGTACTGCAGGCCACTTCAGCTGACTGTTATCTGCAGTTCAGCGGTTCTAATCTCACCGGCTCAAGGTTGACTCAGCCTTCCATCCTTCCAAGGTGGGTGAAATGAGGACCCAGACTGTGGGGGCGATATGCTGACTCTGTAAACTGCTTAGAGATGGCTGAAAGCCCTATGAAGCGGTATATAAGTCTAACTGCTATTGCTATTAAAGGCACTAAAAAAAGAAAAACATTCATTCCCTGTGAGTTTTATAGCTCTGCCAAGCAAACAGATCAATGGATGAGGAAATTTAACAGGGAGTCCAATGATATTAAGAGTTATATTAATATAGGTATTTCTCACTTAGTAGCTCTCTCAGACAGTGACTGCTTGCAATTACAACAATTGCTGGAAAAACTTTTGTGCCTCAGGTCCACATTTACCATCTTCACAGCATCTCTCTCTTTCTCAGTCATGTATTCACATTATGGTCAGTTAATATACCTCATCCTGTATAAAATCATAAGCACATTTGCAGTCACATGATTTTTCACTTAACAACCACTTTGCTTAATGATTGAGCTGTTAGACCTAAATGCAGACACTAAATGAGGACTACCTGTAGAAAAAAATGATTTTCATGGTCTAAGGAAAAATACTACCAGCTTTCTATCTGATTGATGGGAATGCAGTTTAGCTGAAGAACATTAAATTGTGTAAGCAGCGCCACAACGTTGTCCTCAACATATTCAGGAATGGTCAAAATACAATATACAGTGAGAGACACAGTCCTTGAAAGCACTAGTGCTGGATTTTATTGCACTCTGATTGCAGATCCTTTAACCTAAAAAACATTTAAAGACTAAAGCTGCAGATGAAACAGGAACTTTCTCAGAGAATTGGAACTGGGTGTCCTAATTGTTGGTCTCCCTTGTGCCAATAAAACTCTGAATATCTCAATTAGAACTTGGCAAGAGGAAAAAGAAGAGGATGATAATCCTAGCATTTGTAAGAAAATTCTGTACCATATTTCTCTGTTTGATTCTATTTTTTAAAAAAATCCTATTCCACCTCTAGTATTATTGTACATGAATACGTATCATCTATAGATGTAATGAAATAGCCAAAAATAATATACAAATACACAGCAGATGATGCATGGAATGACAACTTTAGGAAGTGGGCCAAATAATTGCTTAGAAAACTCTTGATCACATTGTTTTGTACAGTTTTTCTTAAAAATAAATTGCACTAGATTACAATCTTAAACTACTTGCTTATATATTAAAATGTACAGGACTTACTTATTCTAGTCTGAGCATTCTCTTTGGAACATCTTTTGTGATCAAAATATATAATGTAACAAGATATCTTGGAAGCAATAACCAAGAAAGAAAAGACAAAAATTGGAATAAAACTATGTTATTTTATTAATCAGGTTCACTTGAAGCGCAGGAAACAAAAAAGTCACAGCACTGATGATATTACCAAGTACAGGTAATGAAACGGTCTGCAAGAAAACAACCAAGCTCAGAGAGCACCAAGGACGCGTTATGTCAACTACAAATATTCTTTTTTATTGATACAAAAATGTTTGTCCGGACTTGGCATCTGAAAAAACAATAATGACCAAGCTCTAGGTATGAGAAGCAGTTCTTGAACCAAAGTAACTACATTAGTTTTGTAATGAAAAAGCACTCCAGAACTGTGATTTTCCATTAATTTACAGAATGGAATGAAGGTTTCTCCAATAACTTGAGATAGTCTTCTTCAATTAAAATATTCAGATTTAAGATACAATCTTGTACCAGGGAATAATACCAGAACAGGCCAGAAAACAGTGACTACAATGTTTAGCTGGAGAGAATTAATTTTGGAGAGAACAGTACATGGCCCACAGTATTCTTGACTGGCTGGTAGAGAAGAGTTATTCTCCTACAGCTGCAAGTCTTCTAACATAGCAGAGGGGAACTGGAACTTTAAAGACACAGAAGTATTATTTTTTCTACAGAGTAATGATTTGAAAAAATACTCCTTAGAGGCAAATATTTCTTAGTAATAAAAATGCTGAGGGAAAGGGGAAGAAACCTGGAAAAGAAGAGAGGATGTGTATCATATATTTGGTGTATATGATACACAACAACTATAAGTGAAAGTCAGCTTGTATTTTGAAAGATTGATTCTTAGCTAGCAACGTCAATTGTCTCAAAGTTGCTGCCCTTCAAACAGACTGGATTAGAACTGTTTTGAGTCATTATGATTTTCGGTCATCAAAACTCATACTGGTTGGGGTGTACAATCAATAAATTGTAGGAGACCAAAATGAAGCGCCAACAACTTTAAGCTCCTCTGAATTGTTAAGGGAAAATAAAAATATATGAAATAAAAAAAAATAAGTTTGCAGGAATCAGAAAACCAGTAATGATTACCACAGAAGTATGATAGTAATATTTTAGAATCCGGAGAGAGCACAGATTAAGTGGCAAGCAGGACAGTTGATAAAGAGGAAAAGGAAGGGAAAAAATCAAGTTACCAGAAGAGATGGGGAAGAGGAACAGGGACCAATGTCAAAGAGTTGCTTCTCAGAATCTCTGGGCTGTTCCAGAGAACAAATCCCTTACGAAAGGGAGGCCCTTAATTAAAGCTAATATTGTTTTACTTTTGCTTAACAAAAGTTGAAGAAACAATTAAGGCAAAGATTTTAGTTCAGCAAAGTAGAGGACATACTGGTCTTCCCCCTGCTGCTTTAACTAAGACCTGCCAATGGTGACAGTCTGGAGTTCAGGATCAGGACACAGAGAGCACAAAGGAAAAGAAGCTTCTTATGGGGTGGGGGATCAGAAGTGAGAGTCATACCCTAGAAAGGGTGGCGGGCAAGGTGTTACCTTGGGGGGCAGGCTGAAGAGGATGGGCAGCAGCACCAGCGGAGCGCACAGAAGCACCAAATAACGGCGGATACACCACACTTTCTTCACTATGGCTCCCAGCGCTGCCATACCCTGACAAACACCCCCACGGGACTGGCTTAAGAGAGACCAGCTACATTGCCGGGACCGAGGTTTTATCTCAGGGGAAGGAGGAGGAGGAGGAGGAGGAGGAGGCAGGATTTTTACCGGGCGAGGGGGGAGTAGCGGGCTGGACCGGAGCAAGGGTGTGTTGCCCCAGCAGTATATAGCTAGTGTAGGATTTAAGAGCTGTCTCCTTTAAGAAACTACCTCCTGGGAAATGTAGACAGAGACTGCCTTATGGGAAATGTAGTTCCATGACATAGAATCACATCTGTGTTTCTGATTGGCCACTGGGGCTTTCTGCCTGTCTGCAGAGATTATAGCCGGTCATTTTAAACGCTTTTGTGAACCAGAGAAGTAATGTTTGTGTCTCTGCTCAGCATGGGAGCGAAATCATCATCTTTTTACATCACGTGATAGGACAGATTATGGAAAGTCAGAAGTATCTTAACACTGAACTGTAAGTTTTGCTATTAAGAATGCCTGATAATAAACTTGATCTGAATGAGATTCCTAAGCGTGGAGTTAACTACATGCCCCAGCAATCCTACAATGCTTGAGGCAGAATAGTAAAAAGATGATGCTTCTTTGGGCTCCCCCAAGTAAAAAGGACATTGGAGTTGAATCCCAAACTCTGTTTGCATTTTAACTGAGAATAGCTGCCGGGATTTCCCCCAACTCCCTCTTGGAGCAAAGACAAACATCCCGTTTCAGTGAGAAAGGCTGATTAACTCTCCTGAGATGAAGGACTTTGTTGTGATTAAGAAAATGTGTTAAAAGGGGGGCAAGAGTTGCATGAGAAAAGTAGCCTCTACAACCTAGTTGGCTCAATCTGCTCTGAGAAACCTGTTTTTTTTGTGGGAGAATGCTTACAGGTTAGACTCTTTGTTTCTCCTCTGATATACTGAAAAAGCAGATCCTGCAGAGTTAGAAAAGCATGTTTCCTCTCTCTCCCTGTTTGAAAGCAAGATTGACTTTGTTTCGGTTTAATTGAGCTCCAGGGGAGGGGACCCAGCAATCGCATGAGAAAGCAGCCCCCCACTTCCCAACCTATCCAGTCCGATCTGCTGTTGTTAAGGCCAAATGCACGTGGCTTGGAAGACATTTGTTCTATTGTAATATGTATATGCGTTGCGCTGCTGTAAAGGTGTTTTCCTTTAGAGTATTTGGTTGTTGGGCATTTGTGGCACATGTGCCTCTGTGAAAGCATATGCCTGCGGTCAGTTGTGTCCTTCCTGCATTGGGATCTGGACCCTTTATGGGTCCCTTTCCTTCTTCTATAAATGCCATCCCCGTTTCCTCCAGGATTTGGCACTGGCACTAACTCAAATTGCCAGAGCAATCCTCACACTTTTTGTGCTGTTAATAGGCCAATCAGGAATAACAAAAGATAAACACTGCCAGAAAGGAATCTATCTGATGTAAATCTAAATTAGGGTATATGACATGAGTTTTACAATGTAGTTAGATTATGATGTGATTTGTTTTTGGAAATTTTTGGATGCTGTGAATTGTGACAAATATGTGAAATTTACTCATTTTACTGAAAAGGTTTTTCAATCATAGAGGCAGTAAGAATGTCATATTCTGTGGAATGCCAAACCGTCTTTTTAAAAAAAATAGTTTATTATTATTATTTTTTACACAAGCACAAATAAAACATAAAACATAAAACCATCTTCCAGTTACATACAGTGTGTCAGTTGGTTACAAACATTTGTGCATCCTCTCCATAATTCTCACTTGCAATTTATATAAAATCTCATATATGTATACATTATTATCATTATTAATCATCTATTTGACTATATCTATGATTACTTCATTTTATACGAGATATTCTGAATTTTGAAAACCGTCAGCCTTCTGAAATAATGTTTGGATTTCCACACTTGGACATAATGGGGGAAATTCCACAATATGAGACTAAAAATATAGTTATAGTTATAGTTTATTAAACTTGTATGCTGCCCTATTCCCAGGGGGACTAAAAATATGTCTGTAAAGAACTGTGTAATTGGCCTCTCCTCTTCTTTACCTCAGAAACAGCTAGCTCAAACCATAACTCTCGAATTTGCTGCTGGTGATTGAGTCCTGATAAAACCTGACATGAGGAAAAAAACTTAGCCGAGCCTGGGACAGATCCTACCAAGCCCTGCTAACCACTGAAGCAGCAGTCCAAACTGGAGACAAAGGGCAAATCACTACACCTGTGGAAAGTGGTACCTGGAGAAGACTACTGAGAATGAACATTTCCAAAAACTGATGTAGTCATGGTGATATGCAAAGAATTTTTTGTGATTTTTTCTCATTGCAGGAGTAGCAACTTTTGGTCTTTCTGGTCTGAATCGTGGCCTCTTTTATTCCACCTGAAGATCCTAAAAGCAGCTGTACAACTTTGCACTCTACAGATTGTGTTGATTTTGTGATTGGAACTATATCACTGAATATTACTGTTATTAATGTTGTACTTGTAAACTGATGCACACCTGTGGGGACTGGTGGGACACTGTAATTGTGATTGCTCCCATATAAACTTCATATATATTGGGACATTAAATCAGATCAACCTGACTTGAACACAATAGTCCCAAGAGATAGTGATATCATAATCCCAAAAGATATAAGATCTAATGCAATGGTTCAATATTTGGGAATAATTCTATTATGCATGGGACAAATAGGAGGAGAATGTAATGCAATGACATGTGAAAAATCATACATTCCAAGCAAGTGTGTTTTCTTCACTTACTGTCACCTTGCAGTCTGGAATTAATCTGACACAACCTAGTAACTCACTTGTAAATATAACTAGACTGAGTGGTTATGGACGGATGTGGTAACTCTTTATTAGCATGCTCCAGATGGCTTGTAAGAACACGGAGTCCAGGATCAGGGCACAGAAAGCACAAAGGAAAAGAAGCTTCTTATGGGCCGGGGGGGTGGGTAATCAGAAGTGCAAGTCATACCCTAGAAAGGGTGGCAGGCAAGGCGTTACCCTGGGGGGCAGGCTGAAGTGGATGGGCAGCACCACCAGTGGAGCACACAGAAGCACCAAATAATGGCGGATATACCACACTTTCTTCACTACGGCTCCCAGCGCTGCTGTATCCTGACCCCCATGGGACTGGCTTAAGGGAGACCGGCTACAGTGCCAGGGCCGAGGTTTTATCTCAGGGGAGGAAAGACACGGTACATCAGAGGACAAGATGTTCCACAGGGCAGGTATCCAAATGCAACAAGGACACTTTGATCTGCAGCTCTTTTCATGCCTTCCCCTCCCCCTCCACCAAAGCCATAATGTTCAGTCCTGAAACGGTCACTTTCTTTTGCTTGATCCTGGGGAATAAAGAAACCCCCAAAGTCCCAGAAAGTTTATGAATGAATTAGGACAGAAAATACCAGAAGGCCATGAAGATGGGAAATGAAAGATGTAATATGGATAGTCCTCAAGCTCTGATCACAATTGGGATCAGAATTTTCATCACGAATTGAGTCATGCCCAATTTACAACCATTTTTGTCTTGGTCATTAAGCAAATCACACAGTGATTAAGGGAATCCTGCTTTCTCCCATAGAACTTTTTTGGAAGCTGCCTGCAAAGGTCCCAAATGGTGATCATGTGGCTCTGGGATGCTGCAGGTATTGTAAATAGATGTTGGTTCCCAAAGACCTGCATTTTAATTAAAAAATGATCATAGGGATGATGCCATGGTTCAGTGGTGGGTTTCAAAAATTGTTCGAACCTACTCTGTGGGTGTGGCTTCCTTTGTGAGAGTGGCTTGCCACCCATGTGACCGGATGGAAGTGGCTTGCCGCCCATGTGACCGGATATGAAGATACAGATGACACTTGTCGGAACCACCTTAAATTACCTCACACACA